CCCAGCAAACCCAGCATTGGTGCAGGACAAAAGACAAACCCACTTTAATGCATTTTTAGCCCCTGATGATGCAACTTTTCACTCAACCCTGCACATTTGCAAAATGATAAAGTTGATAGTTCAGTCTCTGACCCCTCTCCCACTGAAGACCAAGGAATTTTTTTTCCTGCTGAATTCAGGAAGAAAGAGAATGAGATTTTCAACCAATACAAAGGACTGTGAATTCAGGAGAATTGTAATTTTTGACATTACCTGTTTAAAGATGCTGTCATGTCTTACCTTGACGTAAGACGAAGTGTCTGGTACAGTCTGAAACATCCTTACTTGTTTATTAGAGATACTTAAAGGTCCTAAATTTGACCTGAAATAAATCATAAAAAAACCCCTCCAAATCATTTATGTTCATATAGGAAAGTAAAAGAACAAAGCCTGGTTTAAATAATAAGATTGCCAATAAAATTTAGAGAGGAATGATCAAACATTTAAATGGAACTTTTAAAGGACAGAGAAACACATCAACACAGTGACTAAAGTAGAGTAATAGAGACCAGGGGCTCATTTCTGTTTTTTTGAGATCAATTTGGTTTTTCCTTTGGATTCCCCCCTCCTCCTCAGGAAAAGAACCTTCTTCACTTTCAACCAGAGCAGAGGGCAATGTYTGACATTTGATTAACGGAATTTCTTAGCCAACAATTAAAAGCCAGCTGAAATACTCGTGTTTTCATGTCGAGCCTRGTTAACCCCATTGACTCGTACCCCAACGTTTCCTTTGGCTAAACGAGGGGCTGTTGCCTTTCCTGGCTCATTGAAACCATCCCGAGCCATTAACCTGCCGGCCCCGACTGATTTAAAGAACCTTCCTCACCGACAATAATTAAACCATAAATTAAAAAACATTCCGAATGGAAGCGTCGCCGCGAATATTAAAAAAAACCCTCAGAGTTGTCAATCCAAATTCTATTTCGGGTCTTGCTCAAACTTTATCTCGGACCCGGGCACCACATCTGTTTCTCTGTATTTCTGAGMCCCGATGAGCTCCTGATGAACGGGATGGGGGGGTTGATTTTTCCTCCCCGAAATCGTCACTGCAGAGACGCAGAGATGAACAACGATGGTGAAAAATKGGACAGGGTGTGGGAAAACAGATCCCACAACCGGCATTGTCTGACCCCCCTGCTCCTGTCGGGCTCCTCAGTCCTTCCGAAACGCGCCAGAAAACAATTAGCTGAGTGTAATTAGCTAGGTGTAATTAGTGCATCGTTAAGATGCACAAACATCCTCACACCCCCTGAGCCTGCCGCTCTATCCCGTTTTCCCGGGACGGGAGGGAAAAATCAGACATTTACCCAGGAATTAGGGCAGGAAAACGATCCGGGAGGGTGAGGGAGATGCGCCAAGAGTCGCGCACAAGCGGCCGACAGCCGGAGGTTTTTGGGTTGGGTTTTTTTCCAAGCTCTTGAGGAAAAGCTGTGGGGTCCTGAGTGCGCCTTTAGCGCGGTTTGTCCCGGTCTGATCCGAGCCAGCCCCGGCGGTTAATTACAACCGCGTTAATGAAGCTGCCCGGCCGCTGAAGYTGCGCCCCGACGTGCGGAGCTGAGACCCCGCGGACTCCGGGGACACCCCCGCAACCACCGAAACATCCGCGGAGTTAAGGGAAAGAAAAAAAAACCCAAAAAAACCCCGCAGCCAAACAACTGGAAAATAAAAGTTCTCTATCTGCACGTAACCCCCCTTTTATTGATTTTTAAAGTATTTATTGCGCGTCCAGCTGGCACGGGAGGGCAAGCGGCTTGAAGGCGGACAATGTGTTTCTGATAAGTACAATTCTTTTTTTCCTGTCGTCCTCCCTCCTAACACATTCCAGTTTCTTTTGCTTCTGAACTTGCGACGGGGGGTGGGGGCAGGCAGAGCAGAGGGACAAGGAAATTTTGCCTCTCCAGTGAATTTTCTGGGGTCAAGGATTCTCGGATTGGTTTTCCCTCTTCCCTCTTTACCCCTGATTAGCGTCCCCCCCACAATTACCTCTCTGCTGTAATTACGCCCGTGCATGTAAATGAATCATGTAAATAAATCAATACATCTGCATATTTTGGAGCCAGTTTTGGAGAGAGTCTGCAGTGGATTATTTATCAATCGTCTCGCCCTGCCAGCGTCAGCCGCGATATAAAAAGGGCCTCTTAAACYACTTTTAGAATCGCTTATTCTTATKGCTACGATTGAAAGGACTCACCTTTTGGACCCTTTCCCCTCAGCCAGTGGCAGAGCAGTTTGTAAAGATCCAGGTTGAGACCAAAACCCAAACTCGCCACCAGCTGCGGATCCCTGCCCTCGCCGCTGCAGTTTTGCGGGAAGAGAGATTCAAACTTGTTGGATCCAAAGCAGCGCTGAAGTTAAAATTCCCAGCCCATCCAGACAGGCTGCATCAAGCAGACATTTCCTCAGGGGGCTTCTGTGCTGCTCGCAGCTCCAGGACGTGCTTTGCTTTCCTTTCCCTCGCTTCTCTGCCCTCTACTTTTCATTTGATTTCCGTTTTCCCCCCTTATCAATATTCCAGCTGTTCCCTCAGATTATTCGTGGCCATGGGACATCCTCGCCCCATGAGCCCTCCTGGTGCTGTGAGCGACTTTAAACAACACACACACGCACACACGCACACACACACAAAGACGAAAAAAAAAAGGAAAAAAAATTCACAACTTAAAAAAAAATATTCCTGAGGAGTCAAGCCGAAAAGAGACGCTGAGTGGAGCTCAAGTGCTACTTTAAATCCCCTTCTTAAATAAGGAAGTTTCAAATATCCGTTTTTAAATCATCGTTCCTTATTTTGAGKGKTTTTTTTTTTTTTTTTTTCCCTGACTCTTACCTAGAAAAGACTTAACCCATTTCCCCCCTGCAGCAGGACTGAAAGCATGACAGAGCACGCTGCAGATGCACACGGCTGGGAAAGAGGGATGAAGTCGGCTCCAAACGATTCTTTGGGATCAAGAATTCCACATTTCTCCCAGCGAGCCGACACCTCCAGCTCTTTTTAGCTATTTCATGAGAGCCTATCAAACAGTAACATGCTCAGGAGGGAAAGGAAACACATCTTCAATCCAGGGATGGTTTTTCCCCCACTGGAGTCGCGTTCCTGGTGCATTTTGTCATTTCAGAAGCCTTCACAGACAATATTTTGCACAAACCTGGACAAAAACTTCCAGGGATTTTAGTACAACATCAATTTTAAATGTAGCCCTCAGAAGGGTTACCAAAACTATTTGGAAAATGTTCTTCCATCCTCGATTCTCTTTCTCTCCTTCCCGGCTTTGCCCCAAATTCCAACATATTGAAACATTTTTCTCCTTAATAAGAGGAACATATAAAGTGAAGGGGTGAAAGGGCAACCTGGGAGCCGTGCCTTGAGCTCCGCACACAATTTACTCCCTGGTAGACGAGGCGTTTAGCATTCCTCCCAATTTCCAAGGAAAACACACTCAGACCCGGACCCAGCGACCGGGGACCTCGCCCCTTTTTAATATAGAAATTCCTCGGATTCTTCGTTGTTATTATAATTGTTGTTGTTTGTGGCGAGAGAAACCCTTTCCCAAGCAAGGTGAGGGGACGGGGATTTTACGGAGAAGTTCCTTGGGATGGAAGGAAAAGCAAAGCGACAGGAGGGACTGGCAAGGTGCGCGGGAGAGAAGGAATCGGGGGAACAAATTGGAGAGAGAGGCAACGGGGAAAAAAACAAAAAAGTCCAAACCCCAACTCTAAAATCAAAAGCAGCGTTGTCATCATTAAAGGCTTTTTAAAATCGCGTGCACCGGGTTAAAGACGCTCTTTGCAAGCCTTAATCTCATTATTCTGMGGGGACGGGAACGACTCTTTCTGCCCAGCCGAGCCAGCCGGGGACCGAACGGGCTCACGTTTCAAAGCCATCGCTCATTCTTTTCTCACGTTTCCACGTGTGAATTACACAGAACACGGCGCGCAGGAGGAACCCCGAGGGCTCCGCTCTCGTGTTCGCTGCCGCCTCTTCCCCTTTACCCCCCGCCATCTCCGCCCCGTGCCCTTGTCCTCCTATTTTCCTATTATTTTCCTATTATTTTCCTATAATTTTCCTCTAACTTTCCTTCACTTTTTAAGCGGTCTCAGCCTGGCTCTGACAGAGAGCCCCGAGCACACGCACAACCTACAATGAAATAACCTTTAAAGGTTGGCGTTAACAGAAATTTGGGATGTAAAGCACTCCCAGGTTCAGGGGAGATGCCTGCCCCGAATCCCGAGCTGAGTTTGCTGCCCCTTGTAACCAAACCCCACAGCCGAGGGGGGAGACCCATGCGGCCACTTCCAGCCATCCTGGGAGCTTTACTAGCCCAAAAGAAAATTGCTGGCAAATTGGAAACAGCTGTAGCGGCGGAGACTGAACAAACCCCGAGCCAACCGCCCCCCCGCTCTCCTGGGCAGGGAAAGTTGCAGGAGTTTTGTTTACACGAACATCTCGGAGGCAGAGCCCGCGTTTCAAGTTTTCTTCCCCAAACCGGGGGTGATTTGTTCGTAAGCAACTTTTCAGCATCACGCACGGACGGGGATTTTTAAAAGATGCCAATGAATATCCGTCCCTCTGCTCCCGCGTAGCCGCTCCCCCCGTGTCCCTGTCCCCTTTAACGGGGTGCGAGCGACACAAACCCAGCGACTTCAGCCTCACAAAGGGTTTTATCCCCGGGTGCGGGGGACCTGACAAGTGCCGCGTTCCCGTCAGCCCGACAGACAATTGCTGGACCAAACGGAACGGTGGAAGAGCTCCGTGTCCTGCAGAATGTGCTCTTTTCATGTTCTCTATTTATTAGCGACGTTAAGAGAAAACAGACTCATATGAGTCCCAAATGGAGGCAGGGTATTAAAAGAGCCATGTGAATGCCCCAGCAATTACAGCTGAATTTGATTAAAAACGTCACGAGGGCTGCAAAAGCAGGAGTTACCTGATACACTCACCCCGAGGTTGCTTTAGGATGAATTATAACACAATTCATTTTATTTTAATAGGTCGCTATAAGATTAACTGTTTAAGGATGGAGCTGCGCTATAAATGTTTACATCAAACCGGAGAGAAGCAAGCTTTYCTTTCGGGTTGTTTAGAAATAATGTTTATTACATTTTAAAATTCCTCAACATGTTAATTAGGACTAAGGGGGAAGTCTGGGAAGGCAGATGGAGCTGCAGTGCTTGACATGGAACCACACACACGCTGCTGTGCTTTGGTTTCCCTTTGCTGGCAGGGAAATGTGGGCATTTTGACTGGCCATCACTGTTTCCATGTGCTGAAGGGAAATGAAGACAAAACAACTCCTTTTGCTCCTGCTCCCTCTCCCAGGCTCGTCCTGAAATTTAATGGCACCTCCAAACCTGTGGCCTGGAGAAAAGGAGATTCAAAGGTGACCTTATTGCTCTCTACAACTGCCTGAAAGGGGCTGTGGGCAGAGGGGTCCATCTCTTTCTCCAAAAGGAGAGGACAGTCTCAGGCTGTGCTAAGGGAAATATAAGTTGGATATCAAGAAAAAGTGTTTTATTGAAAGAGTGATAAAGCACTGGAATGGTCTGCCCGGGGAGGGGGTGCAGTCACCATCCCTGGATGTGTTTAAAGAGAGATTGGATGTGGTGCTGGGTGCCGTGGTTTGGTTTAGGTGTCAGGGCAGGGGTTGGACTGGAAGATCTTGGAGGTCTCTTCCAGCCCTGGTGATTCTGGTTCAGGGGAGGTTCTGTGATTCTAGGTTTCTTTGATTCTGGGATTCTGGGATTCTGGGTTTCTTTGATTCTGTGACTCTGTGACTCTCTGATTCCGGGATTCTGTGATTCTGTGACAAAGGAGAGCAGCCACAGCCGAGGTGATGGCTCTGTCTCAGTGAGATTGGCCCCACCACACCCARATTTGGGTGTTTGGGAGGGAAAAAGGGTGAAATCCCTCAGTGACCAAGGGCAGAACATCACAGGAATGCAGAACTCCAAACCTGTTCCACGTCCTGCTCCCACTGCAGGGACTGGGACTTGGTGCTTCAATTGACAAAAACTTCGTATCATCCAGACAGGTCCTGGAGGTGGAACAAAACCAGGCTTCTGAATCGCCCAGAATTCCTGGATTCAGGGAAGAAATGATGAAACACAACTGCCACGGAGAGTTGTCCATCTGGGTTTGCATCTGCCGTGCTGCTGGGGAGTTGGGGAGGAGATAAGGACCCTCTGTGCCTGCAAATTCTGGCTTTTCCCTCTGCTATCTTTGAGCAGCATCTGATACAAAGGTACTTGTGCATATCTAGAGCASTTAAATTGAATTAAAATTAGCCATATTCCTGAAATTAAATTATTAGTCTGACAGGAAAACCCTCCCTGTTAAAATTTATTTTCATTTTCAATCGCTAGGAAGGGTAAATTTAGAATTTGAGCATGAAAGACAACTTCTGTCATAAATTACCATTGCAAAAAGATTTCACTCAGAGAACTCAGCCCTCTTTCAATGAGAATCTGTTCTTTCCTCTTCACTAATTAATTTAATCATTAAAGGCACTTTGATGAATTCCACTGAAAATCAGCAACCCCACTATAAATATTTTTGGGAAAAACATTTCAGCTTTGCTAAATTACTCTCTAGCAGGAAAAACACCTTTGAAATAGAATACGCTCACCCTAATATTAGTGATGGATGTGATCAGCRTATTCAAATAAATAATCATAAATTATTGATAAAATCATTATCACAACATGGGGAAAGCTTTAGTTCCAGAGATAAAATGAGGGCAAAGGAAAAAGGCATTGCTGTCACTGTTGGATTCTATATTACTCCTGAAAAAGGAATGTTAGGTGAAGGTTCATGTATGACCCAGGAATTTTAATTTCCTTGTTCCCAGTCTGTTTAATGAGAACGAGAACCTTACTCTTTTCACTCTGTGGATCTGAGGACACGTTTGAGGCATTTATTTTGACGAGTGTTTATTGTGAAGTTACAAAAAAAATGGTAGTTTGGTGGTGTTGTTAAAGCCCCATAATTTACAAAACATTGAAGTTTCCACTCCTGTTGTTTATAAACATCCCAGGGAATGATTTACTGTCTGTGGGACGTCATGGAACTCCTGTTAAACCAGTTTGGGTTGGGGACTGGTGTGAGCCTCAGTCTGTGTGAGTTTYCACCAGTCCTTGGAGAGATCCTTCTGAAGGGTTATATGGGGTGGGATAGGAGGGTTACAGGGATATTTCCTGGATGAAGAAAGCTTCGGGGACAAGAGGCAGGAAGGGAAGGTAGGGATGGGATGGGGAGACCTCAGACCCTGTGACAGTGGGGTGGGCAGAGGTGGGACAGGAATCCTGGGRGCAGAGGGATCGAACCCTGCAGTGGCAGAGCTGAACAGGAATCCCTGTGGCAGAGGGATTTAATTCCCATGGCAGAAATGGGACAGGAATCCCTGCGGACAAGGCAGAGGCAGGACAGAGATCGCTGTGGCAGAGGGATTTAATCCCTGTGGCAGAGGCAGGACAAGGATCCCACAGTCCCCTCACCCCACAAGAGCTCTGCTCCCCCCAAGCAGTCCCCAGAGGTTTCCTGCTCTCCTGGCACCTCTCTGGTGCCCATGTGGCCCTGCTGATGCTTCTTTTTCCCCA